GAATGCCCTCTCACCCATGTACTTTAAACTGCAGGAACCCAGGCTCACAGAGGCTCCCTTCAACCCAATACAATCAGTAAAATCTCATCTCCACGTTTTCAAGTTCCTGCTGTTGGTGCCTTTTACTTAAGTCAGCATATTTCAAACTTTCAGAGAGAGAGAGAGAGAGAAAAAAAAAAAACTTAGAAAATAAAAACCACTACCCCACCCAAATGATAAAAATCTCCTGAATTCTCCAAGCACAACATCCTCTTCCTCAGCCCCGAGCAAAGACTCGATTCCTCTGGGTTCTGGGAATGGCGGGCTTTGCCAGTCCCCACCTCACCAGCCTAATAGCTTTTCCAGACCGACTCGGGCTTGGTGTTGGGGGACAGCCTCGCAGCCAACTGCTGGTCCCATTCATTCCTCTCGGGCCTCTTAAGGCCAGTCTCATTAGGGGCTGTCCCTCCTCTCTGCTTCTGGCTCCACTTCCCCCTTCCAGAGGGAGCAGGCAGTCAACCCTCGTGAAGTCTGCGGTGAAACCCGGACCCTCACCCGTCCCTCTGGGCTGCACTTGGTAACGTGGACCCAGGCGCGAGGCGCGGGGTGAGGCTACGGGCTGGGGGGTAGTAGGCAGTCGTCCGGGCCGCCGGTTCAGGGCCGCTCACTTTAGGAGGAACGGCTCCGCAGGCGCGGGACCCTCTTCGAGAGGCCGGTGGGAGCCCGGGCGCGGAGCGCGGGAGCCGGGCGTGCGGAGCGGCGCGGACCGGCCGGGGAAAACATGCCCCGGCGGAGGAGCGGCGAGGCCGGCCCGTTAGTCCCGAGGAGCCGGCAGCTCCCAAGCGCCGAGAGCCCGGCAACAGAAGTACCAAGAGGAAGGGAAACCGGCCCGCGCTGACATGTAAACAGGGCTTCCATCTGGAGAAGCCCGCGCACACAGACCCCCAGACACACTCGCTCGCATCCCGATCCGCCTGCAAGCAATCCACTTGCCTGCCCCTGGGCCCTCCCGGCAGGGGCCCGGGCTGCTGGCGGCTGCCCGCCCGCCCCCGCCGTCTTCGGCGTCGGGGGAGAGGAAGCCGGCCGCCGGGCGGGTGCCCAGCGCCGGGGCCGTGGTGCCCGGCTCGCCGGGTGGGAGTGGTGGCCCCGGAGGTCTCCGGCCCCCGGCTGCGATCGGCGCCCGGCTCCCCGGGTTTCACGCCACCGCCGCCGCCCGTAGCCCGGCCGGCAGCGCGGTGGGAGGGGGCCGGGCTCCGCTCCGGGCAAGGGGTGCGGGGGAGATCGCCCTCGGCGGGGAGCCCGGCGGCTCGCCCCCGCCTGCGAGACTCGCCACCCGAGCGCGGGAGGAGACGGCGCGAAGCCGGGGCTCGGAAGGAAGGGAGAGTGGCCACGTCTTCCGGGACCCCGGCGCCCCGCGCCCAGCCTGCCCGCCGCCTCGCCGCCCCGGCAGACCCCGGCGCTCCGCGCCCACCGCCCGGTCGCTTACCTTAATAGTCCCGTCCATTTGGCCAAGTCTGCAGCCGAGCCCCCCAATATTCCACACATTGACCCGGTTACAGCCTGACCTCGCAGCCCCTTCGGATTAGCCCGGCGCGGCCTCTCTGGCGCCCTGGGCCCTCCCTGCGTGCCCCCCGCGAGCGCCCTGCCCTCGCTCCCCTGTGCACGTTTGTTGTTGTAGCGGAGCGAAAAAGAGACAGTTAACCGGATGAAACTTTTTTTCAGCTAATTTTGGGAAGTGACTTCACTTTGCGAATGGGGAGGAAGTCCTATCTCTCTCTCTCTCTCTCTCTCTCTCTCTCTGTCTCTCGCTCTCCTCTCTCTTCTCTCCCCTCTGCTCTCCCTCGTCTTCCCTCTCCCCCCCTCACACCCCCTCTCCCTCCCCTCCGCGGGTCCTGCTTTTCGCATCACACACACTATATAAATACACGCGGAGATGCCCAGATACATTCATGCGCTGCGCCCACAGGATACTTGCTCCCGGGAGATAAGAGCGAGCTGGGAACAATGCCGGGGTCCACGCCCAGCGCCCGCGCCCTGATTCCCGCAGTCTGCATGCCTCCCCCCACACCTTCCCCCAAAGTCCAACACCGAACGCCTTTGGCCTCCTTCCTTTCCAGGGGCCGTTGGCCGAAGGTGGCCCTCCTGACTCATTCACTTTCCGTTTCTTCCCACAGATACGTTCATTAATGTTTTTTCCAGCCGAGTCAAACTTTTTCTGGGGTCGGGGGGGGG